ATAGGAAAAAAGAAAGGAAGGAGGAGGTGGAGGAATGAAAGTAAAAGGGAAACGGAGAAAAGGCGGATGGAGGTAAAGGGCAAGAAGAGAAAGATGAAGAGAGAAAGAGGAGACCTGGAGGAAAAGGGATAGACAAAGACGAAGGAAGAAAATGGGAGAGGAAATGAAAGGGAACAGGTGAAGAGGAGAAAGGAAATAGTGGAACAGAGGTCAAATTGAGAAAGAGGATAAAGTAGAAAAGGGCGTGGAAGTCATGAGAGAATAAGAAAGGAGACTGAAAATAAGGTAGAAGGGAGAAAAAGAAAGAAAAAGAAACTGGAGATGGCGCACAAATCATTTGTTTACATCTCATTCCGAAAGGGTTTCAAGGGAGTACGGACATTTGTTTGTTTGTTTGTTTCGTGACTCACGGATTTTTAGAAAAGTTTTCTTTGCTTGTAGGATTTAGATATGTTTAGCGTAGGAGGAGAAGGAGGAAAAAGAAGAAGAAGAAGAAGAGGAAGAACAGCATGAGCAAGAGAGAGAGTAGTAGAGACAGAAAGAGAAACTGATAAGTATACAGAGAGATAGATTGAGAGAAACGGGAAATGGGCGGAAAGAGAGACACGTAGGGAGACAGTCTTCTCATTCCATGCACTTTCATGAAGGACTTTATCCCTCTCTTCCCTCCCATTTATCGTCACCTCTCCCTCCTCCTTCCCCCTCTCATCTCCATCCCCCTCTTACTTCGCTCTTCTCCCCTTTCGCTCTCACCTTCCTCGCTTGTACCTACAGTTCTTTCTTCATCTCTATTCACCCACTGCTACGCTCTCTTTCCTTCTTCCTTCTTTCCATCACCTCCTCCCATCCTCTTCACCTCCCCCCTTTCCCTCATCTCCACAATCACCCTCATCTGTTCGTTCTCCTTCACTTCCCCAATTCTCCCCTGCGCCTTACCTTCCTCCCTTCCGCCTTCTCTCCTCCGTCCCCTTCCCCTTTCACTATTTTCACTTATTTTTCCTCTTCTTTCTCACCTTCTTTACCCTCACCTACCATTCCCTTCCCTTCGTTTCTCCATCTATGTCACTACCTCCCTTTTCCATCTCCTCCCTCCATTCCCCTCACTGCCCACGCCCACATGGCCACGCCCACTCGACCTCACGATCCCTCAGGCTATATGCGGCGGGGAGAGAGAGCGATAGCGTCTAACGTAAACATTCTCTCTTTCTCATCTGTCTTATTTTCTTCATGTTTTCCTCAGGACCTGAAAGGAAGAATAGATGATGAAAACATGGGGGGGGGGGGAAATAAAGAAGACTACAAAGGAAAGAATCTAAGAAAAAAAAAAGATTAGATTAAAAAAATTAAGAAAATAGATATATTTTGCACGACCAAACCCACTCATTCCTCTTACCAAAGTAAAAGAGGAACACGCCGTCTTAATTCTGAAAGTATTCGCCCGCTACTAATCCCTTATAAACGAGATAATATCGGCTTAATCATATAATTAAGGGACGGCGATGGAATGTGACAAGACATTCAGACGTCAATAGAATGATCGTCGACATCAGCGACAGGGAATGAAATGGAAGCAAGATGATATAAATATGTAAATACGCGTTTGATCCGAACTGGCTTTGTCTCGTTATGCATCTGCTATAGACGGGGTTTCTGCATGTGCGCTCACTGGCAGGGAGGGGGGGGGCTCAGAGGACGGGTTCTACGCTCAGGGGCATTTGAGAGAGTTGAATTCTTTTCGAATATGTTTATAAATTTGCATATGCATACATACATACATATACATACACGCAAACACGCACACACACACACACACACACACACACACACACACACACACACACACACACACACTCACACACATACAGACACACACACACACACACATACGTGTGTGTGTGTATATACACACAAATGCATACATACATGCATATATACATAAATATATAAATATGTGTGTGTGCGTGTGTATTTATTTGTGTGTGTGAGTGTACATACGTGCGTGCGTGCCACAGACACACCCACTGTGCCTCAGCGTCTTGTGCGCCCCAATGGGCACGGGAGCGTGGTAGTGCCGGCCTCCCCTCGCTGGCTCTTCACCTGGGAAACGAGCCAACGGCCCTTTGACAGTTCTGTTTTTTGTCCTGCGATGTGCCCGCGCGCCCACCATGCCAGGTGAATCACCCACATCAGGGTGTCAGTCATTCACAAAAGGGGAGCAAACCTCAAAGTTGGTTCTCTGCGATATAGGAGCACAGTCGCGCACATACACATTTAGACACAAATACAGAAACACACTCACATAGATAGATAGATAGATGTGTAAATATACAGATAGATAGACAGATAAACATATACATAGATAGACATACATATGTGTGTGTGTGTGTGTACATATATATATATATAAATATATATATATATATATATATATATATATATATATATATATATAATATATATATATATATATATATATATATATATATATATATATATATATATATATATATATATGTATATATATATATATATATATATATATATATATATATATATATATATATATATATATATACATATATATACATATATAAATGCAGATATAGATATAGAGAAACAGAGAGACACAGATAGAAAGACGGACAGACAAATGGATGGACAGATTAGTAAACTGATAACAAAGTTACTTAATATTAATTCTTTTCCTCTTGAGTAGCTAAAGACTATCAATATTCCGACTTCACAGAAAAGAAATGTAACAGACATGCAGAGACACACTTATCAAAACCCCCCAAAATTAATATGAAGAAAAAAGTTAATTGAAAACGACGAATGGAAATATGGATAAAGCTCAAACCGAGTACTGGTGTTTACACATATGGAACTTGTAAAACCCACGTATAACAAGGATATTCTGTTACACCACCTTATATCATCTATTCTATCATTGTTATTATTATTATTATTACTATTATTATTATTATCATCCCTATTATTATTATTATTATCCTTATTATTATTATTATCATTATTATTATCATTATCATTATTATTATTATTATTATTATTATTATTATTATTATTATTATTATTATTATTATTATTATTACTATTATTATTATTACTGTCAAAACAAATTGGGTGAACCAGATTACTCCAGCAGCTTGTGTAAGTTGCCGGGTGAGCATTTACCAACAGAAAAAAATAATAGATAAACGAATGAGAAAAGAAACATAAACACGATCTTCTTCACAAAATAGACAGACAAGCAGTTTGGAAAATATTTTAGTAGAAGGTTTATACGATATGCAACTGAATGGCGCTTTCTTTCTTTATCGCTAGACATTTAATAAGGAAATAAATAAACTAACATTTTACCCTAGATTTCCGTTATATTACCCAAATCTTTCTCCCTTTTACCCTAGAAAATAGATAGACAAGTTTTCCCCTAAGCAAATAGTTAAGCAAATTAATAACCCCTTCCCGTTTTCCCTATGCAAATAGATAAGTAAATAAATAACCTAAAGTTTTCCCATCATTTTCCCTTAGACAAAATAGAAAGGCAAATATGTAAACTAATTTTTTTGTTCTTTTTCCCCCAAACGTGAATTCCCTTCCCCCCCCCCTCCTTTTTCGCTAGACAGTACAGAAAAACAAACATATGAGCTAACTTTTTGCTTTATTTCCCCCAAACTCCAAAGATAAATTCCTTCTTTTCCTTCCTTTTTCGCTAGACAAATTAAAAAGGCAAACACGTAAGCTAACGTTTTGCTCGTTTTTCCCCCAAACGCTAATGATAGATTCACTCTTTTCCTTCAATTTTCGCTAGATAATAGAAAGGTAAACACGTAAGCTAACGTTTTGCTCTTTTTCCCCCAAACGCAATGATAGATTCACTTTTTTCCTTCAATTTTCGCTAGATAATAGAAAGGTAAACAAGTAGGCTAACGTTTTGCTCTTTTTCCCCCAAACGCCAATGATAGATTCACTCTTTTCCTTCAATTTTCGCTAGATAATAGAAAGGTAAACAAGTAGGCTAACGTTTTGCTTTTTTTTTTCTCAAGGCGTCATATACGAATTCCCTCCCCCCCTCTTTTTTCGCTAGTCAATATAGAAAAGCAAGCATATGAGTTAAAGTTTTGCCCTTTTTCCCCAAACGCCAAAGACGTACTTCCTTTTTCCCCTCCATTTTCGCTAGACAAAATAGAAAGGTAAACACGTAAGCTAACGTTTTTTTTTCCAGACGCCAAACATGTATTCCCTTTTTCCTTACTTTTTTCGCTTGAGAAATTAGAAAGACAAACGAGTAAGCTAACATTTTGCTCCTTTCCCCCCCAGAAGCCAAAGATGAATTCACTTTTTCCCTTCCATTTTCGCTAGACAGAATAGAAAGGTAAACACGTAAGCTAACATTTTTTTTCCAAATGCCAAACATGAATTCCTTTTTGCCTTACTTTTTTCGCTAGATAAATTAGAAAGACAAACAAGTAAGCTAACATTTTGCTCCTTTCCCCCCAGAAGCCAAAGATGAATTCACTTTTTCCCTTTCATTTTCGCTAGACAGAATAGAAAGGTAAACACGTAAGCTAACGTTTTTTTTTCCAAATGCCAATCATGAATTCCTTTTTCCCTTACTTTTTTTCGCTAGAGAAATTAGAAAAACAAACAAGTAAGCTAACATTTTTATCCTTTTTCCCCCAGACACCAACCATTAATTCCCTTTTTCGCTTCCATTTTCGCAAGGCAAATTAGAAAGACAAACACGTAAACTAACATTCTGTTTTTTCCCCCGAGACGCCAAAGATGAATTCCTTTTTTTCCCTTCCATTTTCGCTAAAAAAAAAAAAAAAAAAATTAGAAAGACAAACACGTAAGCTAACATTTTGCTACTTTTTCCCCCAGACGCCAAAGGTGAATTACCTTTTTTCCCTTCCATTTTCGCTAGACAAATTAGAAAGACAAACATGTAAGCTAACATTTTGCTCCCTTTTTTCCCCCAGACGCCAAAGATGAATTCCCTTCCGTTGTGGGCGAAGATCTGGATCGCCTTGGCCGTGTTGGGCGTCGCTTCCTCAGAGCTGGTGGAACTCTCCTACACTTTCAACCTAGATGCGCCGACTTCGCCCAAACTCACGCCCTTTTCCCATCGGATTGTGAAGAAAGGCGTGAACAAATACGGACTGTGGTAAGGCTGCGTGTTGGAGGGAAGAAGGAAAGGGGAAGGAAGGGATGGGGGGATAAGTGGGAAAGAGAAAGAAAGAGAGTAGGGGAGAGAGTGAGAGAGAGCGAGGGAAAGAGAAAGAGAGGGGGGGGGGGATTACACTGACTGAAAGACAAGGAAAGAAAGAAAGAAAAAGAGACAAAGAGAAAAGAGAGAGAGAGGGAGGGAGGTTAATCTGAATTTAAAGGAAAAAGAGGAAAAAAGAAATTAAGAGAAAAGGAAAATTCTTTCCCACTTTTGTTTTACCAAATCGTATTCCTATCACTATCATTTTCACTATTTCTTATATTTACAAATACTGATTACCAACCGAAAAAATAAGCAGGTATTTCTTCATCTGAATGGTTTGTCGCAAAGGGATGCAATATATGACTGAATGTCGAAGATGGGGAAAAATGTATGAAGATAAATAATAATTACTTCATTTCAATGTTTTTCCATAGATTCTAGGGATTTGTAAAAAGAGAATGCCAGTTTTGATTTCATATATTTATATTCAATTACTGCTATCTTTGAATACAGACATTTTGCTAACAGTCGAAGAAATAGCCTCTAACCTCAATTTATTTTAACAACTTTACTAACCCAACCTATTCTTACGAAACCTCCCTTCCACAGGGTGGAAATGAACGACTTCAGCGCCAGCGAGCACTCTGGCACACACATCGACGCTCCTGTGCACTTCTCTGAGCGCGGCTGGACCCTCGATTCCGTCCCTATCAGGAGGCTGTGGCGAGTTCCTGGTGAGTTGGTGCTGAGCAGGAAAGTCTACGAAGCTTTTAGGGATTCTTGTTATAAGCCCGCGTTCTTTGGACTTATATACCAGGTCTAATCTAAGCGTATGATAAGTTGTATGTGGTATGGGTTTGTATTCAATGAGACCCCAATGCGACCGCCGCGGGTTTATTGAGAATAAGGACCTTTTCAGACGCATCGATTTTTCGACATCCAGCGGTATGACTTCCTGCCCTCCGTAGCAGACGCCGCTGTTCACTAAATATAGGTTTCTCTCAGATAAATCGTTTTTTTTTTTTTTTTTTGGGGGGGGGCGTTCGATATGAACTAGAAAAAGCCGTCTCGTGTTGGAAAGAGCAGAGCAGCCGTCGTATAGTTTACATTTGAAGGGATGTTGGACGAGGTGGGGAAAAAAACTGTACACTTGTAATACTTTTAACGCCGTAGACAGGACAAATCAAATCGTACTGAAAATGGCCCCTTTGTAGCTTTTATGGTCCAAGGTGAAAAATCGATGCATCTGAAACAGGCCTTATTTATGCACATGCAATCATCTGATCAGAACAAAAACTTCCCCTCTCTGGGGAACGCAAAATATACAAGAATTATCAACCATCAACACGCTGTAATTTTTCCAAAATTATTTCCTAATCATTGTAGTATACCACCGACATTCATCTAATGGTAAAGACACTTAATATTGTTTATGCTAGTGTTAAGATATGTTTTTTTTTTATTGAATATGTTAGTGGTAACAGTGGCGTAGCGAGAAATTTCCATTGGGGGGGGGTTACAAGTGTCTTCCAAAAAAATGTAGACAGGCGCCGGAGGCGCGTGGAGACGCGCTGGGAGCGCGTCTGGGGGAGGGTGATAGGGAGGGGGTATCCCCCGGGAAAATCTTGATAAAATACATGTTATTTTTGGCAGTTTTAAGCATTCTCCGAAGATAAATCTCAGTGAATTTCCTATATTCACAATGTTAATAATTCCGGTGTATTGAAAGGCAAAAAACACATTAGGCTCATATCAAGAATGTTTGATATATCTACATCTCATTGTTTTTATGGGAAAAAGTCTCAAAAGTAAATAGTATAGTCCGAAAAGGGATTTCTTCCAATAATATTATAATTTCTTCTATAGTTGTAATTCAATATCACAATTGACAAGCTCTCATCAAAGAGGGTTGTATTTCCTGGCTGTTTCTCGGCATATGTACACATTTAATTGATCTTGCTAACAATATCAGTAACTAGATAACATTGTGCTACCCATTTCCTTTCGCAGGACCCTATTGTTCGGGTTACATCTTATCTGTTGGAAGATCAAAGGCAAAATGCCTTTATATGCAAACTAGGGCATTTAAGGACGATGATTGATAAATTGTGTATTACAAAGACAAGTTTGAGAATTTTTTTTGATTTTTACATCCCTGTACGTCGTCTGTGGCGCATTCTGTAAGTTATATAAATGCAATATTATACTTCAAGTTTGATATGGTGCCCTATATCCATGGCCCATGGGGGGTGGGGTTCTGACCCCCCGAA